AAAAGGGCTCCACGCTGCCCATGGAACAAGAGCAAAACCAGGTAAGGCCATGCAGAACACGAGCTAGTATCAAATAGTGCATGATACATGTGACAGTACCTATAAAGACTCCAAAACCAGACCTGTAAAAGGACATCACACCACCAAGTCTGAATCCTTTAGCAGAAAGACTCAATGTGAGACTGGTAAGAACCTAGAGGTGGTTGTTCCTAACAGTTCTAAGATCAAGGAATAGTGTGGGCCTATATGACCTATTTGACACATTGACTTCAGCAGAGAATGCAGGAAGAGAGCTCTCCTGGCTATTAAGGCCACCAACCTCCCTCTTTGGCAACACTCGAATCCACATCACTATGAAAATTTTGTAACCCTGCCTCATGTTTCTTAGAGATCCATATCTGGAACCAGAGAGAACAATATCCACTTACCACCACACCCCACGATGTTCTCACCCCTCTTCTACTGGCCTCTTAACTCTGCGCTATATAAATATTTCTCATATTATCTAATACTGTGCTACCCAAAACAAATAAACAAAAAAACCCTAAGAACACATGGACCATACTCCTTCGGGTACCCAAAAGATAGGCAATCATCACAGCTAATGACATCCTAGCATTGAACTGAGGCCCCTGACTTCAGGAAAGTCATCACTATTGATGACTTTAAGGACCAGGTGCTTCATAAATGCACTTTTTACTGACTGTAACTGGGCTTAGCAAAGCTATGGAAGATAGCAGTACCAGGAGAGGAAAAGCCTGAGGGTTTAATGCCTCCCAAATAGAAGCTGTCTCAATGACAGGTTGCACACAGGCAATTGTGGCTCTTTAAGGAATTTAACTGTACCCCCAAGCTTTATTATACCAAGATGGCTCCTTGTCAGAGAAAAGTTCCAACTCGATTTTAATCTTCTAGCTTGTTTGTGGCACCACAGGCCAAAATGACAACAGTTTGATGAGCACTTTCTCTCGGGACCTCTAATATACAACCTCTTTGATATGGCTTCATACCCATTTAAACACCCATCTTCCAAGGGCTAAGTTTTCAAAACAATGCAAGGAGAGGCATTAAGTAATTAGCAATGACATCCCTAATAACAATGACACCTTATATTCAGGAAATAGCCACTTAGGAGAACACTCCCTAGATCCCTTTGGGGAATCTAGTATTTTAGGGCAACCATGACTGCTCCCAGCTAGCTCTCAATGATCTGTTCAGAAAACTAAAAGGTAATGAGAAAAATTCAATACAGAAGATATGCCTCAAGTGATTTCCATCTAATTTTTAAAATATGTTCTCTGCAGTTTGAGTTGTTAGGTTGAGGGTAGGGGGGCATAAGGAAAGAGGGGGAACAAATTTGCCTAACAGTTAAGCTTTTATGTAAATTCAAATGAGCTACATCTACTGAACACATGTCACCTGACAACCATGGGGGTGGGGAATGTGTATTCACACTTGCTGATCTGCCACAAAGACTGAGAACTGACTAGAAACAGATGGCTCCTTTTCCCCAAAAATATGAGCAGGGATACAGGATTGTGACCTTACTCTACCTTAGGGTTTTCTGAGGAAGTATACATTCACACTCTTGAAACTGATTTTTACATTGGAATAAGAGTCAAGTGTATAGTTTGGGACAAGGATAGATGACTCAACTCTGCCACTGTGAGCATGAAAACAGTCACAGATAATGTCTAAAGAGTGTGGCTGTGTTCCAATAAAACTTTATTTACAAAAACAGGCTCAGGGCCAGGCATAACCTACAGGCTATAATTACCAACTCCTGGTTTCAGAAGGTTCTGGTGAAGTATGGTAGTTCCCAGGCAGCATCTGGTTTCCCAGGTTTGCTGGAGAAATAATTAGCAAAGTTTAATTAAATGTTATCTTCACAGGATGGGAGACGTGGCTCTGTGGTAGTGTTTGTGCAGCATGCACAAAGCCCTGGTTCAATCCTTAGCACCACAAAACGAACACAAAACTGTTTCCATTCCAGGGAAATGGAGACTGAAACACTTAGGACAGGTAAAACTGGAACCCAGAAAAATTCACTTCCTACTCCTGTTTTATCTATCACCATTGGTTCTGGAAGAACACAAAAGTTAGCAGCCTCAAACTGGCTTCAGACACAAAAGAGAATTTAATGCAAGGGGCAACTGCAGTAAGAAATGTATCCAGGGTTTCAATTACCCACCAGTGGCTCTTAGCTTTCTTAGAGCTGGCCCTCATTTTTCTCTTAGCTCTTCCAGCTCCAGCTCATAAAAATGAAGCCATTCCTCGCTTTATGAAGACATCCCTTCTGGATGAATGGTCACAGAAGGTAAACCCACTCTTTGCACCATAACCCTTTATATAAGGCCTAATCTATCTTGTCAAGAACACAGCAGGGTGTGCAGTGCGAGATAACTGCACAGGCAGAGTATTACATCATTTGGGATGGGAAACAGAAACAGTGACGACACCTAATTGTTCCTGAAACCCAGTCCCGGCTCGCAAGCCTTTTTAAACTGTTGTGTTTCTGAGCTCTGTTTAGAATGCTCATTTTAAAAGATGACAGAATAAAAATGCAAGAGGCGCTGAAATTCTGAAACCTGCAGCACTGGTTTCGGAGCAATCTGGGTTTGCTCTTTGAAACCTGAAAAGGCAGTGGGCTCTCCCCAACAGTGCTCTTATGGTAGTTCAATGCAGAGAATGAATAGTGGCAACAGGCACACACTTTTTATAGCTCTTTGCATGTGCCAGACACTCTTCTAAGTGCTTCATGAACTCACTTAGCTCTTATGATATAGATATTGCTGTGCACAGAAGAAGAAAGGGAGTCTGGAAACTTCCTCAAGACTACACCAGCTGGTAAATGGAAGAGCCTGTATTCAAAACCCAGACTACTAACTTCATTCTTTTCAGGGTCTATGACAGCAAGGAATTTCCCTGTTACATGTCCTAATGGCCTAGAGGAAAATACTCCATCACTTCTCAAGGCATAGAAGGAACAGAAACAACCTGAAGATGCATGAAGGTGAGGTTAAGATGCACAGGGGTAATATGCCCCAAGCCAAAGACCAGAGGACCCTCCCCACCCTTTAATGCTTGCCCACAAAGAAGACCAATGGGCTCAGGCTACTTTTTCCTTTCTTTCTCCTACCTACTGAAAACCTAACAATAATCCTATCCCATAAGCAAATGTCTATTTAATACCTCTGGGATGTTAACAGGTGGAGAAACAATGGACCAACCAAATACATAACGCAGGAATCCATTCAATCTGCCCTAAGTCACCTGACAAGTTACACAGCCCTCTAGTTTCCTGTTTTCATCAGTATCTTTAGAGACCCTGACCCTGCAAAAGGAGACCATGTAAAGAACCCAAGCACTCAAGCCTATATCCCTCCCCTTTGCACAGCACTCACACATGCTTTCCCTTTTAATACCAGCTCTGGAGGAATCACGGGAAACAACTGCTCTTAAAATGGTTGCTAAACAATTTCTAACTACTGCACAGGCTTCTGTCGATTTCTACCAAGTGATGGTGGTTCTGGTGCTTGCTGCTCTAACTTCCCTGGGTTTAAAGGAAGCCCAAACAAAACCAACAGGTTTGTAGTCTTGTGGTTTGCTTTATAGTTGATGATAGGCATGAGTTTGTCTGGGCATTGCCTTCTTCTACACCACCGGATTCTACACATACTTTGACTACTTGGTCACCATCTTGCTACCAGATTTGACCAAGTTCTGTGTTCCAGGATGTGACACTAACACATACAGTGGGTTCCAAACAGACTTGGCTTTCTACCTCAAAGCCCTGATGAATCCCAATCCTACCTAGCAAGACCCCTGTAACAGAATACCTTCAGGAAGGGCCCATGCAACATCCAAGTTTAGTAATCTCCAGAAAGTTTACCAGTCTGGTTTAGAGCATGTCACATTAAGATGACAGGGACATAACTTTTGTACATTTGGTACAAACTTAGGCTTAGGAAGTGTGCAATGATCCTTTCACATCTGGTGTGAATCAAATGCAAACTTCACTTTTAACTTATTGCCAACCTCCTCATGCAAGTAGGTTCCTTTTCCGTTCCAAAGGGCCTTCATTTGTGGGTCCCATCACAGCCTTGAGTGTGAAAGCAAGGTTAAATTTGCTCCACCCTAGTTTCCCCACACCCACCACATCAAGCTGCTATTAAGAAACTGCTTCGGCGCTGTTCAGAAAGTGGGGTATTTGCCACAACATACTTGATTGTAAGCACTCCATGCCACGTTGGCTGGGAATGCTCAGGACAAAAATCACCTTCGGAGCGGGCGAGAGGTAGGGTGCAAACAGCCCAATTCCTATACACAAGCACATACGCACAGGATGACTGAAATGAGACAGCCATATTAAGCAGGTCAAAATACGGGAACACACAACTTCTGGGCTACACCGAGAGGAATGTAGAAAATCGAGAACAGAGGTGCGTTTGCACCGCAGTAAAAGCCGTTAAACTAACTTATTCCAACGGGCTGGGATCAAATCAGCTCCTGGAAGAGGCATAATGGGAAGCGCACGTGAAGTGGTGGAGAAAGGAACTCCAGAGCCATAGAAAGGGACGCAGGGGCCAAACTCAAGCTGGAGAAGTAACACATGGCTCCACCCGGCTCTCTTCCATGCCCCTCCCCCTCACAGAGCAGGCGTCCAGCGCCCACCGGCTCCGGCTTCCAGTGAAGCCCTCGGCTCAGGGCGCCCACAACACTCCTTGCAACCACCCAGCGCCTTTCATTCCTCCCGGGCAGACACTTCGGGCCACTTTTCGGTTACGCCCCCCCAAAGCTAACTTCCATCTGCCAGGTCCCTCCTCTCACCTCCCGGCCCCCCCCCCAGGAGTTGCACCCCACGTTCGCCTTTGCTCCCTCCGGCCTCGGAACTCTGTGCGCCCCCTTTTCTCTTCCCTCACCTCCCAACCACTTCCCCCTCATATTTCTCCCAGTACTCCCCAGTCCCTCGCCCCAGCACCCGCTCCGACCCGACTCACCTGCGCGGCCACCCCCGTCCCGGCGCTGGTGCGGCTGCTGGGGGTGGGAGGGGGCCGGAGCCCCGGGGGGGGGGGGGCCCCCCCCCGGGGGGGGCGGGGGGGGCC